TATTCGTGGGGGGCGTCTCTGGAACCCACAAATATGAAGGGACGAATAGTAAACGGATCAATGATTTTCCACGAATATCAAATTTTGTTTTTTTATTCATCTTTATGTCTACTAACAGCATTTCCTCAGGGGTGTACTCTCCATAGATTTTCAGGCAGCTCCAAGCTATAAGGCTACCAATGAGAGAAAAGAATCAAAATGAAGAGTTAGCTTCATTTTGTAGATTTCCTAAAAGTTCAGCAATTAGAAGAATGCACCGGACACATCTAAGTTGAGGTCAAAATGCCCTCCTGTTACTAGATCAAGGTAGCAAACCCTCTAGCCCTCCAGTTGTTCCATACTTCATCTCTTGCCACTCATCCTATACAAGGTTCCTTTTCTATTTCTAAACCGGATGCCGTATGGTAGCAAAGAAACAGTCCAGGGGACAAACTGAATGTCCATGTTCTGTCAACATAAAGGGCCAAGGCTCGATGAACATCGAAAGCGGTTTTTTTCCCAGTCAAATCTGCTACCTGAATTATTTCCCTCATAGACAAAGCTTCAACCTAGCCTAGTGATGGTGAACTTTTTTGAGCCCAAGTGCTCAAACTGCAACACAAAACCAACTTATTTATTTCAAAGCGCCAACAATGCAATTAAACCTGAATACTGATATTTTGGTTTAGAAAAAAAACTGTCCCTGCAATGCAAGGGTTAAATGCTTGTCTCTCTCCTCCCCCCCCAACCCCGAAGTGTTATTAACTGAGAAATACTTACTGCTCCTCCAATCCCTCATTGGATAGATAAGCAATGGCTGTCATTGCACTCCTCCACTGGACTAGCAGAGCAGAGTGCCAAAATCTGGGAACGGAGGATGGGTAAGTAATTCTCGATGATGACATATGGCTCATGTGCCCACAGAGATGGGTTCGCCATAGGCTCACCATCACTTATCTAGACTGTCTGTTTTGGAAGCCAACCCTTCTTAAGCGCCCATAAAAAATGCACTATGTGAAGTGCCCCTCATCTAGACAGAACAGACAATTTATGGAACAATTTAACATGCCCACCCCAGGTGACATATATTCTTAAGAAGGGCTGTATAGACCACACAAGCAAAAATTACCTAACTTTTTAAGAAAACTTTTTTTGGGGTAACACAAAAAAATGACAAAAGGAAATGGAAAACTAAAAAAACACTAAACAGTAGAAAAGCTACTTAAACAAGAGAATGGACTCCTGATATTTTTTCCTGCTGCTTAGTTGATGGACAAAAAAGAATTGCAGGGAAACTTAGGATGTGCCTAAGTATGCACAATGGGGGGGCAGGGCAGGATAGGATTCCCTCCAAAAGTTACTCAGTCCTAGAAGGCCCCAAAATGAAGCTCTGCACTGGTACAAAATCCAATTATGTGAATCAAAGATAATGAAGAAGAACCGGTTCTACTTTTTGCTTCTCACTAAATGATGAAAGCCTTCCAGATTTCTACATTTTTTTACTTCTCTGATTCGCTTGATCTTTTTCATTTGTCTTATCATTTTTACATTGGTCCAACCAGAAAATTCTTATCACCCTGAGATTATCTGCTCTTTAAATACTTCTACATTTTTCATATCTTCTTGCGAAATTCCACAATTCCATATTATATATAACAGAACAGAGAATAATACATAAACCAATGTGCATTCTCAAACCAAATTCAAGTTTTTGCTGCATAGTACACTTCTCATCCTAAAGCAGGTATTCTGGGTCATCTCTCTTCCAGTTTTTATTGCATAGTTATGTTCCCACTGTTTATTCAACCAAAAGCCAAAGTACTTATACAGTGGTGCCTCTAATAGTGATGTATTGGATTTCCTCAAAAACATCGCTACTGGATTTCCTCGCTATTCGAAATGAAGTTTCCTATTGAGATGCATTGAAAGCCGGCTAATCCGTTCCAATTGGAACGAATTGCCGTCGTTAATGGAAAATCTCCATAGGAAACTTCGCTATTCAAAACACGGTTGCCCCATTGAAATGCATTGAAACCTATTCAATGCATCTCAAGGGGGGGGGAATCGGTTCGCTCCTTGCACTGATGGTGCGTTCCCTTTGCACGGGGGGGGGAGCTCAGCCCAGCGCAAAGGGAACTCAGCGTTGGGTGCAAGGAGGGAGCCGATGTCTCCCTGGCCAGCAAGCTTGCTTTTCCAAACGCGAAGCAAGCTCCCTGGCCAGGGAGAGGTCGCTTCCCTCCTTGCACCCGACACTGAGTTCCCTTCACGCGGGGGGGGGGGGCGCAGCCCAGGGCGAAGGGAACTCAGCATTGGGTGCAAGGATGGAAGCGATCTCTTCCTGGCCAGCGGGCTTGCTTTTCCCGACGATCGCTATTCAATAATGGCCCATAGGAAACATCGCTATTCAAAGTGAAAAAATGCCCTGAAAACCTCATCGTTATTCAGTTTTTTCGTTAATAGAGGCGCTCGCTATTCGAGGCACCACTGTACTTGTCAACACACTTCACACTTTCATTTTGCATCTTTAACCATATTTCTTGGGCTGCTCACTTTTTTTTTGATAATTCTAACAAGTAGTCTAAGAAATGCATTCGTTTTTTTTTAAACCCTGAAAAGCACTGGCGTACTTATCTATATTTCCCCTTGCCAACTTTCATTGCAGCTTCTAGTTACCAGTACAGATTGCCAATTATACAAATATATTTGGAACCCAGACTATTTTTTTTACTAAAGATAAAAATAGCCATCATGTCATCCAAACTCCACTAAGAGAGGAACAAGAAAAGGAAGAGCTAAGAAGGAAAATCACTAGGATTTAGGAAGAGATCCTATCTCCTTCCTCACAAAATGCTTGCTAGCCTTGCTTAGCCTGAAAGACAGAATCTCCCTGAGCTGAACCCTTTCCTGTCTACAATAATAGGCAATATACATTCTTCCTAACTACTCTTCATATAAATTTCTTCTATCTTCCCTTCCCCGAACTATGTTTTTTAATGTGCATGCTTGAATTCAGGTTAATTCTGTTAGGTATTCTCTAGCACTGAAATGGGCTTTAACTATAGCTAAGAGAAGTCCGCTGTTATTGTTGTGTTCCCAACAAAACAGCACATTTACACATACTATGAATACACTGTGAAATCACATACTGTAGTATGCTCATTTCTGGATAAAACATGTAACCCTTTTCTAATCTTCATTAGTTCTGGTGTTATTACAGAACAAGAACATTTTCCTCATAAGAATCTACTGCTCCAGTGGCTTCAAATACCCCAGTAGTTCAGTTAAAAATATACATATAATCAGGTAGGAAGTCTGGCCATGTGATAAATTTGTCTTCAATACATGCAAATGAAAAGCTAAAAACAATGTCTAAAAATAATAAATAATCATTCCTGAGTGCTTTAAGAAAGGAAACGGACACTATGCTGACGCACAAGCACTGAACATATCAAATCTTATAAATAGAACAGCATAGCATTAGCAAGAGAAAAATCTGCAGATTCTTTCAGAACCTAATCTGGAAGCAGGAAGCATATGCTCCTCACACAGAACTATGAGAAAAAACTAAAACATAGTTTTGGGAAGACATAAAAACATTCAGCTCAAAGATGTTATTCTGCCTGTACTGAATTCAGTGGCTAGTGACTCAACCAAGCCACGTATGCCCCTTCAGTAGCTTCTTGCTCTGAATCCAGCTTTCATTCATTTACACAAACTAATCAACAACAAAACAACTCAGTATTTTAGCAGGAATAAAGGCAAGTCATCAGAACGCATTTGCAAACTGAGACACTTTGGGTAGAAAGAAACTGAAGCCATAGCTCCAGTTTTACTGGCATCTACAAACAGCCCCTTCGTTAACACTCTATTCCACCATATA